CAAATGTTTGTACTATAATTTATACCACAATACAGCCTCCTCAATTTGTGATCAGATTTGTATGCATCTCCACTGCTACAATCAAAATCAAATCCAAACAAAACAAAGTCCAAATAATACCTTAGTGCACATCTAAAGGTCAGTGCCCTCAGCAGCCAATCAAGAAGGCATGGAAATCCAGACAGGGCTGCCAAATAGTTGAATGAAAACTGGATTTGGATTTGTTTGACTGAAATCAAAACTCAATTTGGAACAAAATGTAAATGTTCAGCTTCATGTACAAAAGTTGGAGCCCTCACCTCTCACAAGAGACCGAAGCCCATATGTACCGAATCATGTATGGATCTTGATTAAGCTATAAGCATGTATCTGAAGAAACATTTTAAAACTTGCCATGTGATATTTTGAGAAGCACAAAGCATAGAGCGAGCGACAGAGGACCGGGATAGGGTATATTTGCAAGAAGCAGAACAATGGATAAAAGCCTTCACATACACAAGATCCTAAAAATGCTTTTTGGCATTAGCTAACAGACCGAGCTTAGCACCAACTTCTGATCCAGAGATCTATTGATAATATTGCTAAGTATTAGAAACCATCCTAAATCACACACAGTAACTCTGCAGAGACTGACTTCTCCACCGTTAATCTGCAGGTTCAGTTTTAAACATTACAAAACTCCTCATCCATTTGTCTCAATCTCTTTTATAGAAAAGATAATCCAAGACACTGATACTGAATGTTTTTTTTAAAACTGCTGACAAAAAGTTGACAAGGGTGGCAACATGCACTGAAATTATTTTAAAGACAGCAAAACATCACTCTTGGACTGAATATGTTCATCTTCAGCCTGAAGCCATTTTTCATAATTTTTCAGAGTGGAAATGGTGTACAGAAATCCTTATTCCAGGCCTTCAAGCTTAGCCATCCTTTAGTTTGCTGCTATAATACTGTACATGCATTCAGTGTTACAGGGCTGCAGAAACTACATGTCTATGTCAACAGATGTGTTTCTTGGAAGACAGCTACAGAAATCAAGCTTATTCAAATGTTTGCCAGCTACCATATGCTGCAATACTACTTTAAATGCAACATAAGGCTTTGGGAACATACTTTTACTGCTATCTACACTTTGTTATTTACTTTCCATTTAGACTAAATACCAGAGACGGGGCACACTAAGGGGGGCAGTGTCCTCTTTGTGAAAACATTCTACCCGTTGTAATACTTAGAAAGAAAAAAAAATTATACACAGCACTACTCTACATTAGACCACTTTCAGCGGCTGCACGTTCATAGAGAGGCTCTGGGAAAGATATTTTTACATATGGCATTAATTCTGGGAACTTTTAATAATGGCCAAATATAATTAAAAATTATGCAAAAAATCCTGCCATGAAGAGAGCAGTACAGAAACGACTCTGTTTGAAGAAAAAGCAATCATTTGCTCATATTCTAAGTCCAGAAAAAAAAAAAACAGAACACGTGGTACGTTTCTAATATTTGAACTCTGTCAGGCCCAATTCTGCTCCTATGCGAAGTGAGTGGCAAAACTCCAAAATGCAGCAGGATTGAGCCCCCGATGTTGTCACAAGCGTTCAAATAAACAAACAGGGCTGTAACACATTCTAAGCTTCCACTGTGTTCCTCTAAATGGATCCAGATCGAAAAAGAAAAGCACATTTCATTGCGTTTTTGCAATAACAACAATGTATAATTTTATATTACACTGAATTCACCCTTATAAAGCATAATCACCCAAATGTTCAAAGAGAAACAGATTCAAGGAGTCAGGAAAGGTTTTATGCCCAAGTCTGGAGGACACAGTTGTACCCAATCTGACAGGGATGTCTGATCTCTCAGAGATTCCAACATCACTTTTTCCTCAGGATTTCCATCAAGTGCATGACGTAGGGATGTTTTCACATGACCCAAACGTGGGCATCTCACACAGCCAGCTAAATCCCCCAGGTCTTTCACAGACAATACAAAGAGCTGTTGATGTTCTGAACCGTCCTCAGGGGAACACAGAACTAAGTCTCTGCTCTCAATCTCTTCAGCACTTGTAAAAGGAACTGCAGAATCTGTAACTCACTCAAGTTATTCAGCATTAAAAGTCGAATGGGGTAAAGATGGCCTCCGGGTTTTAACCAGCAGAAGCAATTCTGCTTTGCTTGCATCTTCACTCTGTGTTACCTGCGATTTCTTTTCATTAAAATATGACTGAACGATATGCTAAAAGCTGAGTGCACCTCTCAGATCTTAACTGACTCTGAAAGCTTGGGCCAAAATCCAGCAAGGCCCTTAAGCACTTGCATAACTTGAGGCATATTGACATCTCAGGTTTAAATTTAAACGCATGTCAAAGCCCATCACTGCGTTTCAGCCAGAGTACTCAGCACCTTCCAGAAGGAATCCTTGAAGTTCAAATTTAAACTGAGCCAATATCCATGAAATATTTTCCTTTCTGGACTATGTATTTTAAACGTGTCTTAAATCGCCGTAAGAAGCATTTCCAACTCCACTACGCTTTTACTGTTCAGCTTATGTCAAGCTCACCTTTGTGACGACCATTATCCCACGGAAAAGCCGGGTTTGTTGTAGTTATGATACACCCACGTATACTTGACAGTATGCCCAGGAGGCTTCCCCCGCCCTGGAAAGGTGCCAACGCCATAACACAACAGCTTAGGAGCTCATGATACCCGAATACCACGTGAATGACCATGCTACAGTTATCAGCCCAGCTCTGGTGAAGCTTATCTAACCAGTGACATGGTACACGCTCCCAGAGGAGGAATTCCATCGATAATAATGACTCTAAAAATTCCTTTTGATCATGTTTATAGTCTTTTATACCATCATTAACACTTCTAAGACATACAAAAAGCAATTTGTGTGCCAAATCTGTCCAAGGCCAGCTGCTACCCTCTCAAAAAATGACTGAATAAATACATAAAAATGCTCGTGGCGCAGATTTGATGGGGTTTGCCGTACCATGAAAGCAGCAGGTCTTCCACCAGATAAAGCTCTTTCATTGTGCCTACATTTGCAGCTATGGACCTACACAGAAGTCTTGTAGATCTTCATTAACAACCATGTGGTCAGCATTTACTGAGGTAATACCAATCAGGCTAATTTGTACTCAAAATACAGACTACGTGTATGGAAAAACTACTTAAAACACTACACAACTTGCCTCTGGATGTAAGAAACTGGCTCTAACTCTGCTACAACCACCTGACACATTTTAATTGTTTTCCATATCAGATTACTGGAATAACCCCCATGAATTTCGTTGCCTCATGATTATTTTATTCAAGACAGTTCTAAGCTGCGACATGTGCAGCGAAGGCTGGGATATTCTTTGGTCTGTGACATACGTGCCACAAACACCCTGTGACTGTTACTATTAGCTGATGCTCGTAGAGAAAAGCACTGCGTGATACGCAGCAGTAAATTACTTGCATCACTGTTCGCTTGTGGCATGGCATAACCTAGAAGTCAAACCACAGCCAAACAGATGGAGAATGTGCATGCCACAAAACTCTATCACTTTGTGTTACATTTATATCCAGAAACGGTGTTTTCAAAACAATCTGCCTCCCCTGCTTCCCCCAGAAATGGGATTGTTTAAAAGACCATTTCTCTTGAGTAATTTCTTTTTTGCCCCCTCCCTCCACACACGGAGATGCTTTGGGTTTGTTTTGTTCTCCCCCCTCCCGGCCCTTTTCTTCTCTTTCTAATAAAGACACAGTCTTACTCTACAAGGCATGAATCTTGTCAATTCACTGGATAACATCCATCCACATATACATCAGAAGCTCACCAGGGAGTGTCACAAATCCACATAACTTTCCAAAGCTAGATTCAAAATATGGACCTCTTTTGGAGCTGACAGATGTGTAAAATCATACGCAGCCAGACAACTCCCCAGTGACCCCACAGGTGCATGTGCTGAACAATACAAGTTATTCTGCCCAAGACCAACATTAGCTTATATTTGAAAAGTTATCCTCAGAAAAAGTTTTTCTGATGGCATAATGTGATTCTGGGACCAAAAACCACCACACCCTTTTTAGAGGAGGGGAACATATTTGCTCGGCTAGGTAGAGAGGCTGCAGGAAATCTCTGTGAAAGAAGCCAAATTTTAGAGGTTTTCTAGAAAGACAGACAATCAATTTGGCCTCAATAACGCAGTGAGCATTAGCCAGAAATACTACAGCTCAGCAATGGCTACTTTCTCTTTTATTGATAACAATAGAATCAAACACATGTTCTAAGTAAAAACTGCCTAGAATGAGGCACATAAGCTACAGATTTCCACCTCAGTTGTGCTCAGTAACATGCATGGGATTTCATGACGGCATGCTTTGGCTCAAACAGCTCTGTGTCACCAGTTTCTCGCTCCACCCGACAAAAGGCAGGAGTCCTGCGGGACAGGACTGAAGCTGTTAGCAGGTTTCAGCCTCGAAACTTGCCCTAATGGGGTGGAATCAAACCAGTCCCACATCAGGCAATGTGAAAGCAGCACTGACCAATCTTCTGAACTTGCACTTTACACCTCCTCACTGGACCGAAGGCTCAAACCCTTCAGCTATGGAGAACAAGTAGTCATTGCTTGAAATTCAAAGACTTTGTGGCAATATTCTGTACCTTCTTTACTTACAAAGCCTTCACTCTCTTCAAACCTAGAATTTCTAACCTAATTTTCTCTTCCTCTTACTCCTCTCCAGCAGTGAGAGCCCAAGATTCAGAACAGAACCACTTTTCAATATTCAGCAAAACTTCGCCATCAGTTTGAACTACTTTTACAACCAGGAACAACTTCATGGCGTTGCATTCTTCAAAGAACGTTCATTCTGTTTTACCTTACTCATAGACAGCAATAAAATATTACTATTCAAATACTTTATTTCATATTACTATCTACATATTTTTACATTATTATTAAGCAAGTTGGAACATCATTTTTTTTCCCCACTGTTCAGGGCACATACCTCTTTCACACTGGGGTCCAGTAAAGCCATATGTGCAAGCACATCGGTTTGGAGCCACGCATCTCCCTCCATTTAGGCATCCATTTTCACAGACAGCTGTATCAGAGAGAAGGCAAAAAAATCTTTATTGAGCTATTCCCAGAAAGACATGAAGGTACATACTTGAACAGCTCAGGTTAAACCAGTAAAAATGTCCATAATAGGACAGGATACTTTATTTTCCAGAATCTACTTCAGATGTTTTCCTATTTCTTGGCTTATTAGCATCACGAATTCATCTTTTCAAGGGAGCATAATATAAACACAGTCACAATCACAGCTCTTCTGACCTCTCAGAGCCTTTCTATCTGGGACGGCTAAACAATTCCGTAACTTCAAAATAGCATCTCTTTCAAACTTCCACAAAAAAAAGACACTGAAATAGTAGAGATTGCAGATAGGAGATGCAGAAGAAAATTTGATCTCTAAATCCTTCACATTTTTCCCTATTTAGAAGCAAATTTTAAAATGTACTTGATTCTTTACCGTATTAGAAAAACAATCCAGTATTAAAAGGCTGTTTGCTGACGTGAAATGATTCATGCTATCAACTAGCATACCAAAATGTAATCAATATCTATTTTGACTAAGTTAAGCCAAGATATTCTTTCCCTGTACGATGCTGTCACTAGATTCAGAACCCAGTTTTCCTCATAACAACTCCAAAAAGCAGTTGTTCTCAAAAATAATCAGAAAGTGTAATGTTCACATGAAAAAGGGGCTTTTAAATACAATATGATGCCCACTGAGTAATGTTATTCTTTGTTCCATTTCACATTCACTTCAGTAGAAAGAAGGTTTCCATTTATCCTCTTTTATCCACTTGATATTTCACAGAGAAGGCAGAAATACAATTCTTAATCCTTTCACCATGTGATCCTCTTCCAGATTATTAGGGTAAATTCCTGGTCCCACTGAAGTTCATGTAAAGTGTGCCATTGATTTTGACAGAGCACAAAAGGTTTTCATTAAATGAGCTAAACACATTTTCTCTGTCAGCCCAATAGTTCACTAGATAGCAACATGACAGCCTTGGTTAAAAGCAGTGTCTACATCCTTCTTTGAGTTTCTTCACAGCGTTCCAGCCAAGAGAAGCAAGAGACCACCGGAGTCCGTTTGGGAGAGATTTCAAACAGTGGATCTAGGAATGCTAGGATTGATTGAGGAAATCAAAAATACATCGATCGCCTCTGCTAAGACAACATTAAAATGAGCAAAATTCCTCAAGTGTACTAATAAACCCTGCAATTAAAACAAGGCTTCGTATTAAACAGCTTAAATTTTTCTGTAAGATGAAAACTGAATCCCATGTAAATTCTAAATGTATGGCCTATTGGTCTAGTGAGTGGAAAGCCCTGGAGAGGTCAATGGGAATTAAGGTAGTGTGAGAACTACAGGATCAAGTTTTATCCAATTATTATGAATTCACATGATGTTTATTTTAATAGTCCTGATCAGATCGGCATTCATTACAAAGTCATGTGTTTTCCTGTAAAATTCCACTGTACCTGATCAAAACCAAGCCCAGCATCAGCTGAAATTCAGTGCTGAAGAGTGCCCAGGCCACACATCCCAGAATTACTTAACTGCACAGGGGTCAACATTAACAAAAGTGCACTTACGCTGTCCACAGTGCGTTCCTGTGTATCCTTTCTGACACAGGCAATGGTCATCACTGCAGCTACCTCCATTCATGCACCGGATGTTACAGTGTTGTACTTGAAAGGAAAAAAGATTTCCCTCAGTTAAACCCAACCAGTTAGAAACATTTAAGTGTCTGCAAAGGGATTTCTTTCTTTTTTTAGGGATTGAGTCTATGGACTAGAAACCAGTATTAGAAACCAAGGATGCATGTTTTAGGACAGATACTTAAAATGGCAGTACAGAAACCAGTATTGATCCATGGTGCCTAAGGAATATAGGGCACAGTGCAAGAATTTGACAGCAGCCTTATACACTCAAGTCAAAGGCATTTCATATGAGCAGAAATCCACAGAATTTGTCTCATCGTTTGCAGCGATGAGAAAAGGCCATCAATAAGGGAACAGTACTCAACTTCTGGCAAATACCATCAAGAAGAAAGAGAGTCTTATCATCTGGGTAGCGGGGGAGGGAAGTGTTAAAGGGCAGCAGGAAGCTCCTGAAGAAGAGCCTGGTTCTGCCCAGGTAGGGTTTCTCACACGAAAAGGAAAAATAACAGTGATTTTTTTTCCTCTGTGCCATCTGTGGGCTCGCCCCATCTCCAGGTAAAGCTGCTGTGCCTGGGGGCTGCGGAGCTCACAGACAGCAGCTCGGAGCCAACAACCATCCCCTGCAAGGAGCAGAGGCCGGGGAGCAGCAGCACGCTCTCCCCAGCCCCACCATTCATAACGATTAAGATGCAGCTTAAGTCCCATGCCAGTAAAGGATAAAAGTCTGTGCTGCATTTTTCTGTTAACAAGGTCAAATATAATTTTTTAACTGGAGGTCATGAACCACTTAGAATATGTCAGGCTCTTCCCCAGGCAGAGACGCGGGCAGGCCTCCTGACAACGCGAAGCCCTGCTTACAGGTCCCGCTGTCCGACACAGCTGTGAACCGGGGTAGGCACTCCAGCAAGCAGCCGGGAAATGGTTTTCCTCTTAACAGGAACCACATGAAAGGTTCCTGCCCAGATAGGATTACTGTCAGATCGGCATTTCAGCAGATTGTGATGGAGCACTGGATGCCTACACCACACTGTCTGAAATGCTCAGGACTGAAAAACAGAAGTTGCACGTCCCGCCAGAGCCTGTTGCTAACAGGTGTCATGCCAACCACTGAATTTTTCCTGTTGCACAAAGCCCTTAAGCATCATTTGGCTTTTCACAGTTCAAAAGTATGTGAATGGAATTTTATTTTTATTTTCAAGTAGAAATAATAATTTTAGCTGCATTGCCTTCTATAGCAATATGAATCCACGGAACAGAAGTTAAACACGCAGTTGGAGAAAGGTTTTAAAACAACGTAGCACTGAAAACACTGGTGCTCTTAATTCTTCAATTATAAAGTGAAAACTGTGCCTTACATTTCTCATGTGTCTAATAGTTACGATACATCTTTGGTCTACTTTGGACGTACTTCAGTACTTCAGGCAACAAAAATGTACTAACATTCCTCAACAAAAAGTAAAATTGTCTGCAAATACAGAGTGAATATCTGGTGAAGATTTTTGGACAATGTCCTAAGTAGGTCAGAAAAAGGTGTATAGTTACTTTAAAATGTGTAGCTCAACTTAGCTTTACACAATCTTAGAAAAACAGAGGGGATTACAAAAAGCATAGGAAATGATATCATCTGTCAAGCAGGGAAGGAACTTAGAAACCACAAACTGATTTCAATTAGAGCAAGCTATGCCAAGAGCTAATTTCCATTCCCACATGAAGACCAAAGCCATTTAAATAGTTTGAACTACATTTGAGATAAAAAGGTTAACAGTAGCTTATATGATGATTTTCATATTATTTGCTCAAGTAAAAGTAAAGTGTCTTTCCCCATTTTGGGATAAGGAGTGGTTTTACACATAACATACACACACAAAGTTTCCATAATTTGTCTTACTGCTTCTTAAAGGAACTTTTCCAAGGTAAAATATTTCTTCCTCCTTTCTAAACTAAAATCATTATGAGAGACTGCTAGGACACCGAGTCATCTTTATTAAAATTAGCCATCCAGACCAGTGAGCTTTCACCCTTACTACCACGTAAGAAAAATCAGTGACATCCAGTCAGTAACTAATTATTTATTTTCTGTCCTCTTTTGAGGGAATGTTGAAAATAGTATTTCCAAAGTCATACAGACTATTCTGAAATATTACCCTTCCAAAAGTTTATAGAAACACATGCAAAGGCTGTCTGGAGCTCAGACGATGATTTTAAGATTGCATTTTTGAAAAGTAGCATATTATTGCAGGTCCAGAGTCTCTTTTCTCAGCTATATCAACAATTCCATTAATGTCAGCAGAGATATTCCAGTAAATGAAATAACCTGTTCCAAGGTACCACACTGACAGAGACTCAAGGAAAAAGCACACGAATAAAGCTGGTAAATCAACGCACATAGCTTTGCTTTATCTCAGCATGCACAGGAAATGTCAACAACATTCAAAAAAATACCAGTTTTAATCAGTTACTGTTGGTTTTCGGGTCCAATTTGGAAATAGTCTGTACTGGAAACTTCTGAAGTCAAAACAGGAATAACTGTAGGAACATAGCTCTATAAACCTGCAAAAGAGCCAGGGAGACCAAACAGATCCATACACACTTTGTGTATGGGCAACATTTGTGTTGTTTATCAGAGTGAAACAGTAAGCTTCCCTCTTAATCATAACAGTTCCTGACTTTCTTAATAAATCCTCAGCACAACTCAGCTGACTTCACCACACTAAGAGCACTATCACACCACAACCGCTCGCGAAACGGTCGGGAACTCACCGAGCAGCCGCAAGCTAACACATACGCCATCTAATCTGCAATCCCAAACTGAAAAACAGAGGATGTGAGGGTCTGCCGTCCTCCAGCGGGAAAGCCAGCGCAACCGCTCGCCCAGCGCCTCAGGCCGAGGGTGCTCTGCAGGGCT